GTGTGTGTGTGTGTGTGTGTGTGTGTGTGTGTGTGTGTGTGTGTGTGTCTGTGTGGGGCGATTGGATGCAGTGAAGAGAGCAAACGCAGCAGCAAACAAGTGAAACTGCAGAGAGATAACAGTGTGATTGCTGAAGCAGTAAGTCAAGCTGGTGGAGATGAGGTTTGCGTCGCAGCCCCACTCGAGAGAAACTGATTATTTTTGCCATCTGAATATATGTCTTTATGATGTTGCAATAATTCATTTGTCTACTTCATGTTTCCCTTTTTTTTTTTTTTTCCTGTTTGTCGTCCACACTCAATGCAATAGAGCTCGAAAGTAAGTGTTCGCCTCACATTTGGATCCAGACCTGTTGTGTGCATGCTTAACGAGAGCTTGTCCTCGAACCCGATAGTATGACCAAAAACAATGACACCGCCTCATTCGATAAGTGAAATTCATGCCACGGTTTGGGGATTTTTTTTTTTTTTCGATCGCACATTTGGTGTTGCAGTCAAACTGCTTTTTTTTTTTTTTTTTTTTTTTTTACAGATGCTCGTCCAGTGAATTTCAATTATCGGTGAGGGATGGTGCCTTTTCCATTTCTGCATGGGTGTGATGACAATTTGATCTTTAATCAGAAAGCCACTGATTAAACTCCAATCAACCGTGCTTTCATGTACCAAAGGATGACGACTCGAGCTCTACGGCTAGCTAGTGCCACATCTTTTCCACGACATCTCCTGGGTTTTCGTTGAACAGCTTTGTCAGCCGGATCAGGGCTCAGGGGTCATCTTTCGGTGTGTGGAACCATTGTTTGGCCTGCTCGTACATTTGCAGCCTACATTTCCTCGATTTCTCTGTCTGATGACACACTCGCAACGACGATCGCGGCAGCTGTCATTCATTTGCCTCTCTGGAATTTTAAGTTTGAAACCTTGGGGCCCTTTGAATAGTGCGTTAACTCTTTCATGGACCAATAATGATAACCTGTAACGAAGCGTGTTACACCTGGTGTTGGTCATTTTAGTAAGAGGTAGCTTGCGCCGCTGTGGGCGTGAACACAGCCGATTTGATTCGCCACCAATCAAAGCAGCTCCTCTTGCTAGCACGAAAAACAGGATACGCCGATGTTTCCAAATGTCCAAAATGGTGTTGAAAATCTGAATTGTACGACCTCATAGCCATTCGACTTTGGAGGTCTCATTGTATCGATTCCGTTCGAGGCGTTGTCCCTCCCTGTTCCCAAGGTTAATGTGGGAGTCAAGGCGAGAGCGACATCAATGCAGTGCCTCCGTGTGCCTTTTACCTGCGAGATATGTGAGGAGGAACCTGACCCCAGAGGAAGGTCAGGCCAAAGCCAGCCACGCCGTAAAACTGTCAGTTAGTTAAGATAAAAATCTGACTCTTGTGGCACAAATGTCCACATCGTCCTTTTATGCGCCGGACAAAATAATGAAAAGGGACTACGCTCAAAGCTGAAATAAATAAATAACAGCACAGCACTAACCGGGGCTGACACGCCACGGCTTCGCGTTGCCACGATGTCGCAAAGGATAGCAAGCAGATTTAGAGAGGCCGTTCCGGTGCACCAGCGTACATGACGGGCGATTGACCGAGGCGAGGAGACGCACCGGGAATAAAAGGCAAGGCGAGGAGGACTCCGCACGCTTACTCCCCACACAACTTTCACCGCTATTGGTCATCCCTCGAGTCCTACATCAGCTGCCGTCCGATACGTGTAACAGAGGATGCATGTCAACGTTACATATTGTCTGCTACACATTTGATTTATCGCGACCTTTCGCTTCCATATGGGGTGTTTTGGTGTCGGGGCATTTTTTTTTGCCTCCTTTGGCGCCCTCTGCAGGTCGTGTGTGTCCATCTCCAGTTTGAACAGGCGAATAAACACCAGCTCATTTAGTTCCCTTGTGGTTGTTTACATAACTGACTGATCCCGTGAGTGCATTAAATTCATCTTTTGGTTTATTTATGGAGCAGATTTTTTTTCCCAAAAGCACACGTGGTCAACACTAAACAGCTTGTTGTGTAAGGTCACTGAGAGGACAACAGCGAATTATACAGATCAGGTGACTTAAAAGTTCTGCCATTAGGAATACGCGTTTGGGTGAAGTCATAGAATTACAAAATAACACGTAGCAAAAACTACTCTGATTCTTTCTCCTAACATTGGTATAATTTGTTTTGGGAACGCAAATTGAAATGAAGTTAAATATCAGATCCATTTTGAGTCCACTGCATAGCTGTGCTCTCATTTTGCATTCATGAAGTGACAAGCCATACAGTAGCGCTCCTTCCCACTTGCATGCAGCGCCAACCAAACACGGCGACCCCTGCATTCTCTCAGTCTCTCTCTCACTCTGTACCTCTCTACACACACACACACACACACACACGCACACACACACACATCCTTATGCATGTCCCGGGACCGTGCTGCGTGCGTATGCCCTTGTGTGTGCACAAAAGCTAACCCCGCCCCACTATTGATGGCAGCGTTCATTCAATGGCCTGTGGATGGTCTTGTGTTCAGATTGAGAAGTGTTAAAATGGAGCAACGCAAGCTGAATGACCAAGCAAACTCGCTAGTGGACCTTGCCAAGGTAAGCTACATGGACTGTAACGGTTTTCTGCCGCATTGCCCATGAAGGAAGACTCTGCTTCTCTGCCTATGTGTGCGCGTGTGTGTTGT